TGAACACCTCAGTTAATCAGAGTGTGTGTGTATGTATATGTGTATATATTTACATATATGATGTAAAAACATCCATGTTTGTACACATAAACTGATTCACTGGTGTTGAGAATTTCCTTGTGATAGAGTGCTGAGGAGGATCCTTTCAAATTCAGTAACAAGGCTGTGTTTCTACTTTTATGTTCCTAAAATCTATTTGAGGGTTAGAAGCCTCTTCAATACAAGGCACAAAAGAATCTAGAAGATCATGTGACCAAATCAAGTCCTATTTGTAGTAAACTCATTGAGAAGATATTTTAAGGGACAGTAGGATGGTTTAGCAGATGGCGAGACAATTGCCACCAAGCTAAACAACCTGGGGCCAATACCCCAAGCTGAAACAGTGGAGAGACCCAAATCCTGCAGGTTGTCCTCTGAACTCTGAACACAAGCAAGCTGTAGCATGAGCACACACACACCCCCTGGGCATAGGAGGACACAGAGAAAACTTAATAAACAAGGAGAAAAGAAAGTATTTAAAAGACTTTTTACAAATACATTGCATCTAAGAAAAAAGCAACATGGAAGACAACTGACATTCCTTAGTAGAAGTTGTAGTGATGCCACCTCGGAGCAGTGGGAGCAAATATCACATCAAGCAAGATGATGGAATGCCAATTTGTAACCCAGAACTCCGGAGGCTACAACAGGAGAATCACAAGCTCAGGGTAGTTTAGGCTACATAGTGAGACCATTTCTCAGGGGATAAAGGGGTCAGGGAGAGATGTAACTTAATTCTAACAGAGACTTGGCTAATCAATACAACTCAGAATAGTTAGTCACAAAATCTATAGTGATGAAAAAATCTGTGTAACTCTTCCTGCCAATGGGTGGAGTCTATTTCTCCAGTCTTTAAGATGACTTGGTGCCTGAACTTGATTTGACCAATGGGGTGTAGTAAAGGTTTTGCTTCTTGATTTGTAGAATTTAGGGCAGTTTGAAACTGCCCTAATCCCTAATGGGATTGGAATTTTTCTCCTTTTATTGCTTGCTCGTAATCAGAAGTTAACAAAGCTTGTGCAAGACTCATGACCAAACAGTATTTTCAAGGAAGTGCCTAGACTAGAGATATCTAAAACTCAAGGCATGTGAGTGATGGTACCTATAGGCTAGATGGCCTGTACTTCTGAAGAATTTCAGTTGAGACCAGAAGAACTACCCACCGTCTGAACCTGAGTTTTAGACTTCTGCACAGCTAAGCTATTAATTTAGATACTGAGTAATCACCAATGGAAAATGATATATTGTGTAATTATAATTTACAAATGGCCCTTTCATTGATTCTCTGGTTTTTAGGTAAAGAAGCAAATTTTATCTATAAATTTTTGGCTCTGTTGATATTTTTTAAGGGAAAAAAACTCTTATTCTAGGACTGGTCAAACTATAAATAATTTGTCTTTTACCTGATCCACCAGCTCTTTGAGTTCCTAAATTTGAGATATTCTAATTGTGTTTTTTTCAATCCATATCACATAATCAGCAACAAATTGACTCAAAGTTGACCAGACAGCTGTACCTCCTATCACATCTAATTTGGTCAACTCTTCTCATGGACATGGATTATATCATGCAGTATGCATTAAAGGATATTTACTCATTTTATCTCTCCATTCCTACCTTCTCGCAGAAATGATACATCACTCTTCACTTTTTGAAAGTATATATTTTCAAAAGAAATGTCTCTTCTTATAAATAAGAAAATCAATAGGCCAAATGGATTTAAAAAATGTAAATGCATGTAATATTCACAAATACAAAATCCCTACTCTCCCTTCTTACTCCTTGATTGACCCATTACCACAATTTTCCTTTGGCTCTGGCCAAATTTCTGTGGTCCTAGGAAACAATTCCCTTGGCCAAATGTACTCAGAATGGCAGTCCCAGAGTTCTATGGCAACACTGAAGTGACTTTCCCGTGCTGCTAATTAGCCACCTTTCCCTCTGTGGAGGGATTACACTTGACTTTTTATACCAAACCATGGCATAGCCTAGAGCTCGGCAGGTTCGGGCTGTCTAACTCGTGATCATTCCAACACTGATCCAGGTAGGTTAGAGGGATGGAAGCTGCCTTTTCATTATTTTCCCTACTTAGCACACAAAATGCCGAGATTCATACTTGTGTGTGTGTGTGTATGTGTGTATGTATGTATGTATGTATGTATGTATGTATGTATGTATGTATGTATTTTACTTTGCTCATTTTTATCTACCTATCCAACCCTTTCTTGTACCTCTGTCTATTCCATTGATAGAAACTGTCTATGAGAAAAATCAGAATTTGAAGTGGAAACACATAGAGCAGAGGAAAAGCCTAATCAACAAGAAGTAAAGAATTAAATGTGGAAACTGCAACGTATTACCCATCAAAGTGTACAAGTCAGAGGAATGGACAAAGTCATGAGATGTTCTGCATGGTAGAAAAAGTTTATTGTGGTACACAATATATCACCACAGGAAGTCTTACATGTACATCCCACAAAAGAAATAAATAAGAGGTAAAGTACAGTCATTTAGAAAAAATAGTAATTTTGGACAACAGTAAAGAAACTAGAATTCATATATATGGTTTGAAGGGCTGAATTCTAACTGTAAATACAATATTTGTAGGTATACAATAAGCTGTTAAGTCACATGCTCATATTGTATTATCAAATTGGGATGATTAGCAAACAATTGACTAAACATTTATTATTTCTATATAGTGAAACCTTCAAAACCCTCTCTTCTTATAATGTCGTCCAAGTGGTGTGTTATGATTCCTTGGACCACAGACAGGACACAAATTATAAAATAATCAGAGCAAAATAAACGGGTGGAATGAAATAATAAATAAATCTGGGACTGATGAGGCCAAAAGGCAAACACGCTTGCTCCAGATTTGCAACGATTTGCTCTGTGACTCAAGCAGAGTCCTCGACCTTCCTGGACCTTTGTTTCCTTAGTTTAGAATCAAAAGAGCATCACAGACACTTGGCAAAGTATCACTGGGTGACAGCAGTCTTCCAGTCTGTCCTGAAAACACTGAGGACTCCTGTGGAAGCATGCACCTCTAATGGCCTCTCCACACAACTTCTAGGACACTGACCGATGTCCTGGGCTCTCTCTGTCTCTCTCGGGAAGAAGAAAGAGTGGAGAAGCTTGTGGTGATCATATGGAACTCTTTGAAGGAAATTTTCAGCACTATCCAGAAACTCTAATTTAATTCAACTTTTTAAATAACTCAGAAAAAAAAGTTTACCAAGTAAAGAATAGCCAGTCTTTCCCTGAGCAGCTTCAGATGTTGATTTGAGGTTTTAACAAAGACACCAGCATTATCAACCTGCTCCATCAGTGTTAATTTCACATGATTTAAGTTCATTGCCTGTTTATGTTGACTCAGGAAAGGACAAGCTGCCCTGAGCACAGGAGGGAATGCACGCCTCTGGAAGGTCTCTGAGGCTTGTCCTTCTCTTACACTTTACACTTAGCAGTGGAGTGTGAGCAGAGACTTTTGCTCTGTGATGAGCACAGTCTGAGATTTAGGACACTGCAAAGACAGTGGGACTGAGGTCCAAATCCTCCCTCATTAATAAACTGTATTCAGTTAACTATATGACTTCAATCTATTTTTGCTGAAGCATAGTCTGACGAACTTTGCTGCCTTTTTATTGAAAATAGATTCTTCTATCAAACAATACACCTGACCAGAGTTTCCCACACACACACCATCCACTCCTCCCACCTTCTTCCTCTCCTCTTCCCCTCAGTTTCCCTTCAGAAGAGAGTAGGCCTCCAAGAGACAACAACCAAACCCAAGAAAACAAGATACAATAAGACAAGGTGAAAGCCCTCATATGGAGACTGGACAAGGCAACCCAATAGGAGGAAAAGAGTCCCAAAAGCAGGCAGAAAGAGTCAGAGATTGTAACAAGAAGTTTCCCTGTGTCCCACCCGGCCCACAGCAGCTTATTAAATAATCACTCAGAGGCTTAATATTAATTACAAACTGTTTGGTCTATGGCTCAGGCTTCTTGCTAGCCAGCTCTTTCATCTTAAATTAATCCATTTCTATTAATCTATGCATTGCCATGTGGCCATGGAGTTACCAATCTGCTGGCATCTTGTTCCTCCTTGGGCAGCTGGATTGTATCTACCCTAACTCCACCCTTCTTTTTTCTGTATCTCTCTTGGATTTCAGGCCAGGCTCTTATCCTGCCTTACCAGAGGCCAAAAGAGCTTCCTTATTAACCAATAGTGGCAACACATATTCACAGCATACAGAACGACATCCCATAGCACTTCCCCTTTCTGGCTAATCAAAAAGGAAAGTTTTAATTTTAACATAGTAAAATTACATATAACAAAACAGTTAACAAGCAAGAATTACAGTTACAATATTTAGTCTATTTGTATTTGACAAAATTAAAGAAAATACTCTATCATCTATCCTATCTTTGTGAGTCTTAAGTTTCATATTTAATTTATCTTGTATCATAACTAAGGAAAACTGTAACTATAACTATCTAGTCTTCAACTCCATCAAAGACCCCAGAAGATATAATACTACCTGAGTAAACAAGAAGTGCATTGTAAGCAACTTCCAAAATTTTAGAAATGACAGAGACATCTGGCTGCCTAAACAATCACCCAAAGTTCCTCTGCAACACCGGGGCATCCATCTTCAGCCTACAGGCCTAGAGTCTCTGGCAGACTTTTCAGTGAAGCAGGAAATTTGAAGGACTATTCCACCTATTAGCAAAGTTCATCAGTCTCTTTCCTCTGTGTCCTGCAGAATGTCAGCAGTTTCTTCTGCAAAGCAGGAACCTGAAGGATCATCTCGCCTTGCTTTGGCGAAGTTCAGTAGTCATCTTCCTATGGGTTCTGCATGTCCAGTTTATCAAGCAGTCCAGGCAAAAGTAATTTCTTGCTCAAATGGCTAGCCTTTTCCACATTGTAAGGAAACTCCATACGGAGTTTCTTCGATGCCCATCATCCTCTTTGAAGTAATTGGTGCTGCCAGGAGCAAATGTGTCCCACTGTCCAGATAAGTTCTTAAAATATTTTAAATACCATATCCTATAGGTCTTTGAAGTGTTTGAAGATTGCCTATCTAATTGAAATATATCTTTGTATACTTAAAAAACTTAACATGAGTATAAGTTTGATTAACGTAGATGACTATTAATCTGTATTTTTAATTACACATTACATTTTTAAGTGAGATTCGTAAACATAATATCTGAAACAAGAATTTCATAAACATAATATCTTAAACAAGAGTATAAATATATATAGTATAATAAAATTGACCTTAAATTTGCATTAATAAACCAAAATCCATACCAATGTAAAGTATTTTGACATTAACAGTTGTTCTTTGGAATAAAGTAGACTTAATATCTATCTTTTTATCATTTTTATATCAGGCCCCACTGTCAGTTTGAGGAGAGTGACCCTCTGTCCTAGCATCAGCCTCACCCCCAATTCTGCCCTCTTTTAAAGTAGAGCCATTCTGCTAAACAAATAGAAAACTTGAAACCTGGGGAACTGAGATTTAAGTAGAGATAGAACATTGACTAGCTGGACAATCCACCAACAATGTCCACACCTGCTTCCCAGATTTTTACAAAACATAGTAACTTATCCACTTTTACACCTTTGCTAACTTGAAAGACTAAAAATAACAACACTCGAAGATGAGTTATTTACCTAGTATCCTGTGTCACATACTGGAGGCATTTTCAAGCCATTAAGCTTGAAAATAGTGCTTTAAACAAAATAACAAAAAATATTCTTTCGTTGTCTACCTTACTCACATGAATATACATGTGAATATACTCACCAGTTTTGAACCTTAGAGGTAGAAGTGCTGAACCAAAGCAAACACCTTTGTAAAAACTCAGAAGGCATTTCAAACTTAACCACATCATTTTTCTGCCATCAGGTGTGAGAATGCTTGCTTCTCCATCCATCACTAAACCATGACATTTAAACTCCTGTCTAATTGATAAGAAAAGGCTATTGTGTTGATATTTGGCATGCATTTAATTTAGTTGTGAATGAACTGAAGAGTCTTTACCTACAAGGAGGCAGGTCCTCACCACATCTGTTGACACGTTTGCTCTCACTTCTTTGTGGGGATCATGACACATGGCTCTCATTCTGGTTGTCTCTTTCATTTGATATTTTCCATTATTTCCTCCACTGGGCATCAGACGGAATCTGCTCCAGAGTGTCCATGGCTTTTTTAATTTCTCCAAACCACAGTGAGTGCTGTAAACCTGCATCCTCTGCCCTTTTTTGTCTCCTTGTTATCTGAATATAAAGATAAGAGAAATGTCCACCTCCAGGCCTGAAATGTGTATGTAGGCATTTAGTGTGATCTTAAATGTAATATTAATATATGTTAAGGAATTTCCAAATTATGAAAACCACAGTCACTTAAGAATGTCACATTTAATATCCAAAAAGCCTTTAGTTCAGAGTCATCTGAAAGCTATGCTTACAAAATTTATTATTAAAATATAACAAATACATTACCCAAGTAAATGAAAGAATTAATTAGCTTAGTATATTTTGAACAAAAAGATATATGAGAGGAATAAGAATTGTATTATTTGACATGGAGTAAGCATGTTTTAATTTTTTATATTTTGAAATTATAATAATTACATCACTTCCCTCTCTCTAATCCCCTCAGTGTATCTCCCTCCCCCACACTTGCTTTGTTTCAAATTCGTGGCTTCTTTTTCTTCCATTGTTCTACAGATATACATATATATTCTAAAATACATAAGTACAACTTGCTCAGTCCATAAAATGTTACTTGCAGGGCTGATCATTTGGTATTGGATCACCCACTGGGGGATTCCTACCTGGAGAAGATTATCTCTCCTGCTCTCAGAATTCCACAGTAGACAAATAATTGCTATTTTACTTAAACTGTCTACAAAGTCATGTTAGTCTTTCATGTAACTTTGTCAATTGAATGCAGCTTGTCCTTAATCAGAGTTTCTCATTACTCTCCTATTTCAGACAGCACGAGGGTTGTCACAGCCAACAAAGGCAATGCATGAAGCAAACTACTCTGTGGTGTCTGAGTTTGTCTTCCTGGGACTCTCCAACTCATGGACAATCCAGCTGTTCCTCTTCCTCTTTTCCTGTGTGTTCTACGTGGCAAGTCTGTTGGGAAATTTTCTCATTGTGCTAACTGTAACTTCAGACCCCCATTTACAGTCCCCTATGTACTTCCTATTAGCCAATCTTTCCTTTCTTGACTTGATATTTTGCTCCTCCACGGCACCCAAGATGATTTACGACCTTTTCAGAAGGCACAAAACCATCTCTTTTGGGGGCTGTATCACTCAGATCTTTTTCATCCATGCAGTTGGAGGCACTGAGATGGTGTTGCTCATAGGCATGGCTTTTGATCGATATGTTGCCATATGTAAGCCTCTTCACTACCTGACCATCATGAGTCCACAAAAGTGCATTCTATTTTTAGTTGCTTCTTGGATTATTGGCTTCATCCACTCAGTGACTCAGTTGCTTTTTGTGGTAGACTTACCCTTCTGTGGCTCTAATGAATTAGACAGCTTTTTCTGTGACCTTCCTCGGTTTATTAAACTTGCTTGTATGGACACCAATGCACTGGAATTTATGGTTACTGCCAACAGTGGGTTCATTTCTGTAGCCTCCTTTTTAATTCTGATCATCTCTTACATGTTTATTTTGATGACTGTTCAAAAGAAATCTTTGGGGAGTTTAGCCAAGGCCCTCTCCACTCTGTCAGCTCATGTCATGGTGGTTGTTTTGTTCTTTGGACCCCTAATCTTCTTCTACATGTGGCCATTTCCAACATCACATCTGGATAAATTTCTTGCCCTCTTTGATGCAGTTATTACTCCTTTTCTAAATCCAGTAATTTATACACTTAGGAATAAAGATATGAAGGTGGCAATGAGAAGACTATGCAGTCAGTTTATTAACTACAATAAAATTTCTTAAATATATTGAAAACATATAAGCACACAAATTATACTAGAATTTCAGGTGGATATTGCTGCATTTGCTATGTTATATTTATTCAGAATGTTTTCTGTACTAAAATTTGATATGCCCTTACTTGCTTTACCCAAACACTGAAATGAAATACCAACTAATAAATAGTTTCTGGAAGAGACTTGATGGGCTAGAGAGATGACTTGGTAGTTCAGAACACTTATTGTTTTTTATAGGACCAAGGTTCGGTTCCCAGCACCCACACACAGATGCTCACAACTATCTATAATTCCAGTTTAAATGAATCAAATCCTCTCTTCTGGTCTCTGCTAGAACCAACATGCATGTAGTACACATACATACTTGCAGGCAAATCACTCATACACATAAAATAAAAGTACCTGTCAATAAAAATCATACATACTGAAAAACTAAGTTTGGTGCATGTCATTTCTCACCAATGATGTTATGTTGCTTTTTGTGGTAGACTTACCATTCTGTGGCTCTATTGATGAATGCAATAATGATAAATGTTAAAGAATCTACTTGCAAAAATAAGTATGTGAGTTTTACATATTTATATTTCCAATCTTGAGAGTATTTTCAATTTAATTCTTTTTTTCTTAAGAAATTTTTTATTCATTCTGCAGTCCAACCACAGATCCCCCCTTATCCCTCCTCTCACTCCCCCTGGGGGAGTCAGATCACTGATCACCAGGGTAGGCCAGCTCAGGTATCCCCTCCACTACTGCTGGTAGTTTAAGCTGGGGTCATCCCTGTGGATTCTTGGGAACTTTCCTCGCACCAAGTTTCTACCCTATCCCCATAATGTCTCCCTCTATCAAGATAACTCCCTCATTGCTCTCCCACTCAGCCCCTGTCCAAACTCAACCATCCTATTTCCCCAAGCTCCCATCCCCCATCCCCTGCCCTCCATTGCCCCTCACACCCCCAGTTTACTCAGGAGATCTCATCTATTTCCCCTTCCCAGGGTGATCCATGGGTCCCTCTTAGGGTCCTCCTTGTTACCTGGCTTCTCTGGAGCTGTGGATTGTAGTCTGTAGTTTCTACTTCATCTATTTTCTTTCTTACTATTCTGATGATTTATTTTCTGCCCCTTCAGTGTCTTGCTTGTCAACCATTTATTTGCTAATCTGACTTCCTCAAAGACCAGTAAGACTGAAACTGCATCAATTTTTTATGAAAAAACAAATTTTAGTGTGAAGAACTGTTCACTAAACATAAAACTATGCTGAATGATTTTCATGGGAAGCCATTGCTTTAGATGACTTCCCAGCAGCACAGACCGGACCAGAGAAGCTCACAGTGCTAATGGGACCTTTCCTGGTCAAACTCCACTTCTAAACAGTTCAGTTTCCAAGCAAAAGGGAAAAAAAATCAGGAGATGGAAAGGGAAAAACAGAGCAAATGCAACGAGAACACATTCTCTTCTCATCATTCTTTTCCTTTGAGTCATGTTTTATTCAGTGTTTTTCTCCTCATGAAGCTAACTTTCTCTATTAAGATCATCAAACCACTCATTACTCTTTACACATAAGGTGCTGCCCACTTCTAGAATCACAAATAAAAACTAATTATGTTTCAAATAAAATCAAACAAAATTTATGACCTTTTTGTTTTTAACAAGTGTTGAGTAGTTATTTGAGAGAGATGTAAATCTGTGATCAGAGAAGTAGCATTTTTAGGAAGGTGGGAAACAGAATGTACACCTAGAGCTAGGAAAATAAATAAGAAGAAAATATCAGAATTATTAAAACTTAAATCAGCAGAATGATTAAAAACTTTGAAGAAGGACAGGTGGATTTGGCTGTCTGGTGATGCCAGTGTGTCAGCTTAAAGAAAGATCTACAACGCAGAACACAACCCTGAGGCAGAGGTGCCACGCCCAGTGCATGTCTCTGAGGAGGGTTTGACTGTTCCTTTGGAATGGAATCAAGGAAATTGGGGTGATATATAGTTGTAATAGAACAGTGGATCTCAAACTGTGAGTTGCAAACTCCACAGAAGTCATATATCAGATATTTTCATTATGATTTATAACAATAACAAAATTACAGTTATGAAGTAGCAATGAAATAATTCTATGGTTGGGAGTCACCACAACATGAAGAACTGTATTAAAGAATTGTGGCAGTAGGAAGGGTGAGAACCACTGTAATAGACTCTAAAAGGAGGAACTGCCAAGAATGGAAAGCTGGCAAACCCAGCTCCCATATCACAAAGAAGGAAGAAAAGTTCCTTGCAGTTGAAGATTCTGCAAACAGTGCAGTTTCTTAGAAAACTGCTGACTTAAAATAGATCCTAGAGTTCTGTGTTTCAAAATAAGTTTTAAATCTATTTAATGTCCTTCTTAAGTCCCAATCCTAAGTATTTGCTCCACGGTGATTAAAGTAACACATGGACAGTCCAAACATTGAACTATGCTGCTCAGCTGCTCTCATTTGTCATTCCAGATCACACTTCCTTAGTCAATCTGGTGTGTTGTCCAACTGCTGTTTCACTGACATGACCATGAATATTATTCTCCTTGTGTTTTTCATGTTATTCAAATACTGAATTCCAACAAATGCTCACATTGACTTTTCACTCGGTTTTTTAATGATATTCAGCTAGATGTTACTTCCTTGGCTTATTCTGTTTTTAAGTCTTATTTGGAAATTATTTCAGATTCATAAACACTCGAAGTTGGTGCAGAGTGTCCTTATGACTTTTATTTAAACTAAACTCAGATTCCCCTGATGCTAACATTCATTTTCCTGGCATACTTTCCAATCACTAAGACAATAACATTACTCTAAATGCCACAGTTTATTCAGATTTCACTCATCTTTGGGTTTTTTTTTCATTTATATTTATTTTCTGTCCACGTTCAATACTAGATGCTATGTCATGCTTAGCTTGTCTTCTGAGTTTCATCTGACAGTATTTAATCTGTTTCTTTCCATAGCTGTAAGTTTTTAGAACATTGGACATTTCAAACTTCATTGACATACTTGATCTTCTCTGAATTTTTTCATCACAAGTAGACTTGGCCTCTGGATATTGTAAGGGATACTCAAGAAAATAAAACTCTTTATTGGATAATATTTGGGTCCATAACAACCATATGATGTCATATTGATGATGATCACATAAAGAGAATTTGTCCTAACAACTTTAAAGGGAAGAGGTGAATTCTTATGTCACCTGTAGTCTCCCATCCTACTTAGATAATCAATCTTTTCCCAACTTATCTATGAACTTGATAGTACATTATAATTTCTAAATATTATCGCTTGGATACTTTAAGTACAAGCAAAGGTTAATTTTAACTTCATCCCAATTTGATTGAATATTGAGGGAAAATGTGTACATGATGTCTCCTTGTACTCTTCTCTTGGCTCATTCCCTTACTATTAATTTAAAGCTCTATCTCCAATTAGAGATCTTTTGGTTACCACCTGAGGCATGTGTGCCATTACTGCGCCCTTAGGGTTATCATGCCAGGCTGCTGGTTCCAGTGGCTTGTAGGCATCTTGGCTCATTCCCTTACTATTAATTTAAAGCTCTATCTCCAATTAGAGATCTTTTGGTTACCACCTGAGGCATGTGTGCCATTACTGCGCCCTTAGGGTTATCATGCCAGGCTGCTGGTTCCAGTGGTTTGTAGGCATCATAGATTTTTAAACACCAGAATGAGTATGTTCTCTATGGTCATATTATTTCTGCCTCCAAATAGCAGGTACAGTGAGGGACATTGAAGGCATTTGAACAGCAAAACTCACTTGTTAAATGCAACAAATATGATCTGGATACCCTTAATAGCAGAAAAAAGTTGCCCTGCAAGTCACAAATTGAGTTAGACAAAGTGTACTTACACACTTACCACAATGTATTAAACTCATAATTTATAAAAGTCATTTTAAGATCATTTAAAATATTCTTGTAGTGGTTTAATTTGTGTAATTCATGAATGTACAAAGAAAATTCTGTTTTCAAGGATTTTAACATCATTTCTATGACTTTCTTGGAAGCTGAATATTACAAGGTGTCTAGAAATATTTGGATTCATCATGACAAATGGTAGAAATTGGTTTCTGTGCAGATCCTGGTGCCATCTTGCCCTCCTGTGACCCGTTATCAACATTCCCCCTTGTTGCCTTGACCACAATGAATATGTTGTAGAAGACAATTTCCTTGGCTAATTGACTCTAGTTTTGCAGGACCTCATCATTATAGCTTGATTTGGTCACTATCCTTTCTCCACAGTGAAGTAGCTGAGTTCTCTTTCTATAAAAACATTTTGTATGCCTCTGTGCTTGAAGTAAGAGCCTGCAAGTAGCCACAAAGGAGGGAGGCCATGAAGTTCACAACAGGAAGACCTTATGCTAAATAAGCTTCAGCAGCAAGGAAGACCTGGGTAACAGTTAGCTCTTTGCATACATTAATTAAGGTTTGCCTTGTGGAGAGGAAGAAATGGATGATGGGAGGAACGATGATTAGAAGAGTGACTGTGAATCTTTGTGGTTACAGAGACAAGAAGCAATCTTCACTGAAGTCACTTAGAGAATCAAGATTCGTCTAAGGTGTACTGCAGTATAGTCCTCACCCTGGTTCAGTTCAGGACTGAAGTAGGATGCAGGCTAGTAACTGTATCCCTGTCTCTTTAGGGAAATTATTATCACTGAAAGTGAAGACAAATATCCTTATCTCTTTCAAACAAGTCTGTTGTTTACTTTTCTGTAGAGAGGAGCTAAGATATGAAGAGAAAATTCGTAAGTGACAAGTGCAGTTTAAAAAAAATAAAAAAACCGATGTCCTGTAAGAAATGTGGTAATAGAGTGATTGAAAAGAAAATTATGTGCTTAAAAGAAAATTATCGAAGGTATTAATTTACTCCAAGCTAAAATCCTGTAGGATCAGCTAAAATTGCATGCTGGAAGAAAGAAAAAGGGCTAGAAAAGTAAATGCATAATGTTTAATTTTCAACTTATCAATATTCTCGT